GCGCATGTGCAGACTCACAGGTTTTTTTTTTTAACAAAAGGTACATTTTCCTGTTATAATGTATAATTTCCCTTGTGTAAAATGCTGAAGTTACTACCATATGAATATTTGTACGGTCAGCCAGCTGAAAAAGAGTAACTGAAAGTTTCAGTTTGACAAGTCAAAGATGAATATTTTAGGATATTTTTTTACTTTTCACACCGTTTTAAAAATAAAAACAGTAGTCTACAGTATACAGTAGCTACTCATAACTTAGAATTGTATTATAATTGTATTTCATACGACTTGAATCGGCATTCTGTGATCAATTCGCGCTACAGTTGCATTTTTCGACAAGGCAGCAAAAATCGACAGAATTCACCTCACCGACGAGAGAAACTAGTCTCAAACACGATATAGGCTATGTCAGTATATTTTCAAAGTCCAAAGTGATTTTGATTTGATATCCACCCTGCAAATCAGCCTAAATACGTCAATGTTGTAATAAGTAGAATTAATTAATATTGGTTGCTTGTTGCTAGTCATAAGCATCATACGTCTGACCCAAACTTGCAAATATTATCACAGAAAACTCCGTGTTTGTCATTATAAGCTGAACTTGTCTTCAGGAAGACGGCTGAACGTGTGTATCGGGTTTTACACAGGTCGAGTGTGTGTCTGTGATTAACTTTTGTCTTAATGCGTCAAGCCTTGATTTGCGCAGTGTGATTTTGTGTGTTTGAGAGAAATGTGTGAATTTTCTCTGGATGTCACTCTTGCTTGCTCTCAAAAACTGAGCTCTTCTCGATTGCTATCATGGTAGTACAAAGATTATGCTAATTCAGATTATGCAAACTGGCAGTTTAAACCGGATTACAGTGAAGTGTGTATGTGTGTGGTGTGTGTGTGTGTGTTATGACACCGAAAACGAATCCTTGCGAATGTAGAACAGCCACTTGTATGAAATGTTGTGGTGAAAGGGTTGTGATGTAGTGTATTTATTTATTAATATATTTCTGAATAACTGCTGCGTGTGATGTGGTTGGTTTTGTGGATGTTTGTCTCCATCTAGTGGCCATTTTAATCTCCTAAAGAGGAAAAGGAAACTATATATCAAAATATAAAAACATACACGACAAGATTATTTTATTTAACTAAAATTTAAAAAGAAAATATATAATATGTATTTATTTAATTATTAATCGCTACATTATATTTCTCTTGATGTCTGCCATCATAATGTCATTAGATATAAACCATGAATGAACCATATGCAGTTTCATGAATTAAAGGTGCTCTACTTTATGAATCTATGAAATAAATATTTATCACTTACAGCACCTTTGAATTAATTCATGTTTTGGGAACTTTTAGATCTGTAATAATATTGTAATAATTTGTCTCTTTTGTTGTGTTTTGTGTTGCACATGAGCTTTGCCCGCTTTTCAACGAGGCTCGTTAATCAAACCAGCAGTGCTTTGTGTGTCTGTGTGCGTGCAATTGCATGTGTGTGTGTGTGTGCACGTGCATGTGTGTGTGTGTGTTGACACTTCTGCTTAACAATTATGTGTCTTTAGGAGGACATGGTCATGTTATTCTGAAATTATGTTTATTGTGGATTGTTTTATAGCAACAATGTTCGGATCTTCAAACAATGGTATTTAATTTTTATTCTTCTCTGAAATGTGCATTGCCACACACACACACACACACACACACACACACACACACACTCACACACAGTCGATGAGTTGACATCGTTCTTAATGTCCTACCTAAGGGCAGGACTCACCTGGGGCTGCAGTCTCACCTGAGAGTGTGAAGGACACACACACACACACACACACACACAAACACTCTCGCACACACAAACACACTCTCCTCCTGCGTCATTCAGAATCCATAATGCATGAATATGAATTGAAGTATTTCGCTTTTGTATTTAAGAGCATAGAATTAAAATGGAATGAAATGAATAGAGCTGCAGTAGAACTTGTTTGTTCATGTTAACTCTGGCCCATTAAATGACATAAACATAAACAATCTATTAGTAATGTATTAGTAAATGTTTTGTTTTTTAAAAACTAATTAATAAAGTGATTAACTACTAATGTATCTAATTAACATTAACAAATTTTAACCATATTGTAAAGAGTTGCTGACTTACGCATATTTGTCTAGAAACATTAGGTGTTATTAATAATCAGTGTTTGTTTGCAATCCCACCCTATTTATTTTGTATTTACATATTAAGGATCACGCTGGAAGAACATTTCCCGTGTCCCATAATGCTCTTATTTATTCAGAATCAATAGATTCAGAATATTCTGTGTGTTTTGTTGAAAACAGAGTGATGGATATTTGACGGTGCCGTATGGCAAAATTCTAATCTGTTTAGTCCAATTCCGTCCATCCATCCATTCTGTCCATCATTCCACCCACCATTCCATTTATTCCTTCCATCCATCCATCATTCCACACAACATTCCATCCATCCATTCCTTCCATCATTCCACCCAACATTCCATCCATCCATCCATCCTGTCCATCATTCCACATCCACATTCCATTCATCCACCATTCCGTCCATCATTCCATCCACCATTCCATCCAACACCCCATCCATCCGTCATTCTATCATCCATCCATTCTGTCCACCATTTCGTACATCATTCTGTACATCATTCCGTCCATCATTCCTGCACCCACAATTCCATCCAACATTCCATCCATTCATCCACCATTCTGCCCATTCCATCCATCTTTTCGTCCACCATTCCATCCATCCACCATTCTATCCATCCATTCTGCCCATCATTCCGTCCATTCATTCTGCCCATCATTCCGTCCATTCATTCCATCCATTATTCCATCCAACACCCCATCCATCCGTCATTCTATCATCCATCCATTTCGTACATCATTCCGTGCACCCACCATTCCATCCATCCATCCATCCACCATTCTGCCCATTCCATCCATCTTTTCGTCCACCATTCCATCCATCCACATTCTATCCATCCATTCTGTCCATCATTCCGTCCATTCATCCAACATTCCATCCATCCATTCTGCCCATCATTCTGTCCATCATTCCGTCCATTCATTCTGCCCATCATTCTGTCCAGTCATTCCATTCATTCCGTCTTCATCGCCATCGTTCCGTCCATTCATTCTGCCCATCAATTCCGTCCATTCATCCAACATTCCCAATCCATCATTCTGCCCATCATTCCGTCCATTCATTCTGCCCATCATTCCGTCCATTCATCCAACATTCCATCCATCCATTCTGCCCATCGTTCCGTCCATTCATTCTGCCCATCATTCCGTCCATTCATCCAACATTCCATCCATCCATTCTGCCCATCATTCTGCCCATCATTCCGTCCATTCATTCTGCCCATCATTCTGTCCATTCATCCAACATTCCATCCATCCATTCTGCCCATCATTCTGCCCATCATTCCGTCCATTCATTCTGCCCATCATTCCGTCCATTCATTCTGCCCATCATTCCGTCCATTCATTCCATCCATTATTCCATCCAACACCCCCATCCATCCGTCATTCTATCATCCATCCATTTCGTACATCATTATTTGCACCCACCATCCATCCATCCATCCATCCACCATTCTGCCCATTCCATCCATCTTTCGTCCACCATTCCATCCATCCAACATTCCATTCATCCAACATTCCATCCATCCAACATTCCATTCATCCAACATTCCATCCATCCAACATTCCGTCCATCATTTCGTCCATTCATCCACCATTCCATTTATCAGTTCCACCCATCCATCTACCATTCCACCCAACATTCCATCTATCCATCATTCCATCCGTCCCCTATTTTGCTACATTTATACCCGTTTTTCACGGTGAAGATATTGCAATAGGAGCTGGCATGCCACTAAATTACAAACATATATTTATGTGCTAATACACTTTATGTGCTAATTGTTTTGATATTGAGTTTAGAATGTTTTAGACGTGTACTCTTACTCAATGTCAGGGAATGGCATAATGAATGTGTAGTTATTTGTGTTGTTCTACTTTTGTGTGCTTTCCTTGAATTGCAAGTCTGTGAAGTCCATTAACATCTTGTTTGATGTTCAATTCATATTCATAATCATGAATTGAAAGGGGTAAGTTCTGTATTTTGCTCACCTCTGATGTTCCAGCACAATGAACATTTAATAGATGGAATAGTGAATTTATTTAACACCAACACACACACACACACACACACACACACACAGAGAGAGAGAGAGAGAGAGAAAGAGAGTACAAACTGGAAAACAAAGAATTAGATGTCAAAGAGGAGAGAGAGAGAGAGAGAGAGAGAGAGAGAGAGAGAGGTGTATATAAAGGTGGATGTAGCGCACTCAGTGAGAACAGAGAGAGATACGGTATTGAAAGCGAGAGTAAAAGAGGAGTATTAAGGCAGTAGCGCAGGAGTCAGCAGTGATGGAGGAAGGAGAGGGAGAGGGACTGCAAACTTTAGCTATAGTTCTGCTGCTGTGTGGAGCTCTCAAACTCCTGCACACACTCGGACTCATCAGCACTGAGGGTGAGTCTCACACACACATCTCACTCAGTCAAACACATGAATGTCTGATAATGAGATTTGCTGAATCAGATTTAACCTCTGCTGAAAGTCCCATTATTCATACTGTAATTCTTCTGTGGAAAATATGAAATTCAAAAGAGAGAAACGTTCATAATAATTGTGTTTATAGCAAACTGGGAAAAATGCTTTAGAAATGTTGCATGATTTGTTTTATGTTTAATTTACAGATTATGTTGCTAAAAATAAAATAATATATTTTTAGCAAATATATATATATATATATATATATATATATATTATACAGATTATGTAGCAAAATAAAATTATATATATATATATATATATAATTTTATTTTGCTACATAATCTGTAAATAAAACAAATATTTATATATAGTTGTTTATATATGAAGAGTTCAGATGCAAAAGCCTCTAAGTGCCATTTGAAATTTTCTTCTAGAATGATGATTTTTATCAAGCTTGTATATTTAAGTTCAGTAATTTCACTTAAATGGCAATGAAGATTACCTATTAATTGTTATTTAAGTGAAATTACTGAACTTAAATATACAAGTTTGATAAAAATCATCATTAAAGAAGAAAATTTCAAATGGCATTTAGAGGCTTTTGCATCTGAACTCTTCATATATATATATATATATATATATATATATATAGTTTTTGGAAATAGACTAATTCAGAGATGAATACACTGAAAAAAATAAGGTGTAGAAACAATTTTTACTCAGTTTCACAAATAATTACAAAGAAATGGCATTGAAATAAACATGCATTTTGAATTAGAGAGATATACTCCAATAACCTTATTTACAATGACAAATACTTTTTTTTAATCAGTGTGTGCTTTTGCAGATTTGTGATTTGTGTGTGTGTGTTAGAGAGAGTGCAGTACTGTAATGTGACACTGCTAAATGACATTGAACAGCAGTGACTGAGAGCCTCAGGCACATGACCTTTGACCTCACCTGTGTGTGTCCTTCAGTGCTGTAACACACACACACCCACACACACGTTGTGTTATGAGACTTTCCATAGACACAATGGTGTTTATATTGTATCTGTATATTCTCTCCCCTTATACACTACCCCTACCCCTATACCTTCACATCACACACACTCACAGACTAACCCTGCCCCTAAACCTACCCATCACACACAACTTTCTGCATTTTTACATTTTCAAAAAAAAAAAAAAAAAAAAAAAAAATCATTCTATATGATTTAATAAGCGTGTTTCCTAATGGGGACCAAAATATTTCCCCACAAGGACAAGGATTTCGGATATTGCCATCTTTGAGGGGACATTTTATCCAAGGCCACACACACACCCTGTGTCAACATGCCAGAAAGATCATATTCATATTTCAAACTGTACGTCTGTTTGTTTTTCTCACTTTAGTTCAGCTTTGATTGTTGTGTGATATAGTAGTTTATATACAGAATCAGTCTTATTATACTAACATTGAGATTTCTATTAATATTTTGAATTTTAATTAAAAAATCAGTTTTAATTTTAGATGACGTTTTGTTTTCATAATTTTTGTTATTTTTTTGTCTGTTTAGTGTTTACATTTTTATTTGAAGTTTAGCTAAATTAATATGAGAAATGTAATGTTGGCTTGGCAACTAGCTGAAATAAGTTTTTATATATATATATATATATATATATTGATTTAACGTCTGTTATTGTTTTATTTCAAGTAACGAAAATGTTCTTTTTGTTTTTAAATAAAATAAAAGTACATAGGTAAACATACTGAAAGACATTTTGAAGGGCGAAATAGCTTGTGATGTCTCCCGTTGATGATGTCATTGAAGATAAAAGCTGCTAAATGAATGAATAAATGTTAAGGAAGTGATCTCTTCGAATGCTGTGAATGTCAAACGTGTGTTTTGCTGCGGTGTCGTCATCTTTAACACATGGGAGTTCGTCTGTACTTGTACGCTTCTGAAACCACACGATCCATGATCTGTGTATCTTCTCATCTCATGCAATCTTTCAGATCAACACCAGCATTCGAGAGATTGGTGTCGCTAAGATGTTGTTAAAAAAGTCTCTTCTGCTCACCAAGGCTGCAAATTTGATAAAAATGACAGTAAAAACAGCAATATTGTATATATTACAATTAATTATATTATTACATATGTATATATATGTGTATATATATATGTATATGTATATATACTGTATATATATATATATATGTGTGTGTGTGTGTGTGTGTGTGTGTGTAATAATATATATATATATATATATATATATATACATATATATATTAATTACAATTAATATATATTATTACAATTAAAATATGTTTTCTATGTGAATATATTGTAATTTATTCCTGTGATCAAAGCTGTATTTTCATTACTCCAGTCTTCAGTGTCACATGATCCTTCAGAAATCACTCTAATATGATGATTTGCTGCTCAAGAAACATTTACGATTATTATCAATGTTGAAAACAGTTGTGCAGATTATAAATCTGCTTTAAAATATCAATCTTTTGTAGAATTATTAATGTCATTACTATAACTTTTGATCAATTTAATGCATCTCCATGCAAGTATTAAATACTTTGAAAATAAAGAAGATCTTACTGACCCCAAACTTATGATCGGTAATATATGTCAATCAAAATACCAAACATAAAGATGCAGAGCAGGTGAAATAGATGAATTATTGGATGTTTGTCTATTTTTGTATGTTTATTTGTATATTTTATTAAATTATATAGGTAAGGTAACTAATTTACATGGTACTGTTTTTTACACTGTATATTGCATTTTATTGACACGATTTTATTTTAAAATTAAATCAATTTCCTTTACTTTTATTTGTATATGCTGTTTCACTGTTAAATGCATCATATACCAAGGAAATATAATGGATTGCACATGTTTTATTGTCCATGTTTTAATCTGTGTGTGTGTAGATAGGGTGTGTGATGATCTGGAGCTGTCTGTAGTGTGTCATCGTCCAGAGGCTTTGGACCTGCTGGAGGCTCAATCAAACTTCAACAGGAAAGAGCTGCAAGTGCTGTACAGAGGCTTTAAAAACGTATGCAAGCTCACACACACACACACACGTAGTCAAATTTAAAAAAGAAAATCAAATTTACACACATTTCCCCCTTTGTTTCTCAGGAATGTCCCAGTGGCGTGGTCAACGAGGAGACGTTCAAACAGATCTACTCGCAGTTCTTTCCTCACGGCGGTCAGTGTGTGTTTGCAGTTCATCTCTCCACTTCTTTCATGCGTTTCACTTCAGATGGGCCAGAAATGAACTAAAAAATGACACCAAAATAAATATAAATCCCCCTAAATTTAATATACAGGGTAAAATATGTGGTTTTAGTATTTATAATAGACATATCTAGTTAAGCAATATCACACGAGCAAGAGTGCGGTTTTCCCGAATATCAGCACGATTGCATATCGATTTTATACAATAGTTCAACAAAAAACAAGTTAATTTTACGTGACTTTCATTTTAGGTGCAGAATATTAAAGGAGTAGTTCACTTTAAAAAAAAAAAACTTTTGCTGATAATTTACTCACCCCCATGTCATCCAAGATGTCCACGTCTTTCTTTCTTCAGTCGAAAAGAAATGAAGGTTTTTGATGAAAACATTCCAGGATTTTTCTCCATATAATGGACTTCAATGGGGTCCAAACGGTTCAAGGTCCAAATGAGAGTTTCAGTGCAGCTTCAAAGGGCTTTAAACGACACCAGACGATGAATAAGGGTCTTATCAAGCGAAACCATCGGCCATTTCAAAAATAAATAAAGTTTAAGTTTTATAAGCACAAATGCTCACCTTGCTCTGTTCTGTGATGCACGTTTGTGACTCTCAAAATAAACGAATCTTTTTTCGAGTCATTTCTTTCGCTGTGATGCGTGTAAATAGGACCAAAAAATGTCTTAAATAAAATACAATAAGTTCATTATAATTTCGAAAGGCCTTAAATTTGGGGACGGTTTAAAGGCTGAAATGTGAGGTTTAATGTATTATTATATAAAACTTTGTTTTTTAAATTGTAATGTTTTTTAAATCAGTCATTTTACTGTTAATATATATAGATATTGCCCTAACAAAATGCGGTAGAAAGGTCTCAGAAAAGTCTTAAATTTGCTGATTCTCTCTCTCTGTGTGTGTGTGTATTCTCTCTGCAGACGCCAGCACATACGCACATTACCTGTTCAACGCCTTCGACTCTTCCCAAAGTGGATCAATCAAATTCGAGGTGAAATTTCCCTCTGTTTATTCATGTTCTTCACCAACTTGGTTTCTTCTATTATTATTTTCATTTCTGTGTCAGCACAGTGTTTTCTTTTGTGTCGTTAATGAGAAATCCCTTCTCTCGGCCCAGGACTTTGTAACGGCTCTGTCCATCTTGTTGAGAGGAACAACAACAGAGAAGTTACAGTGGACCTTCAACCTGTACGACATTAACAAAGATGGCTACATTAATAAAGAGGTGTGTTTGATTATACACTTCTACCGTATTTTCTTACAGTTTTTTAATCATCTGTAATTTTTTGCGACTTATATTCCAAAGTAACAGTATATAATGCAAGTAACGTCCGTCACGCAAAACATGCTGAAAGCGAGTCCGTCTGGATTTGTGTTGAATGAGAGATATACGGTTTGTTGCACACACGCTGGTAGTTTCAGTTTTTATTTAACCCTTGAGCTGTCACCCCCCCTTTTTGAAAATGCACTATTCAAACTGAAATGGTTGTAATTTAAGAATGCTTTGTAATATACCCAAGTTTGGTCTTGTTTTAAAGAAAACACTCAGCAGATTATTGCTGAAGTGAAAACACTTCAAAAAATTAAAGTATGAAAAAGTTATGGAAGTTTAAATTTACAGTAAATCAAATATACTGCACTATATATTTTTTATTTGATATAAAATATATATTTTACAAAATAGTTTTTACTCTGAAATTACTATAAAATCAAAGCCATAAATCTAACCAACTTATGTTCCAAATTTGAAGTTGATATCGCAAAAATTGAAGTTCCCATGAGATTTTGTTTAGGCGTAGTACCAAAAATAGCCACCGGGTGCCATTAAATTCCATTGAATTTAGTTGTATATATTCTGCCTTAACAAAGTAATACATTTTTGTCTAAATGTCAATTCTGTCACAAAATTTGGAACCTTGAGACACAGACCTTTCTGACAATACGTGTTTTGTCAAGATTAGAAAAGGTTTTGATCATAAATTATGAAATATAATGATTCCCAAAAGGGGCGGAGCCTGATAAAATAATTTAGAGTACTGTTTTAATGGTAACGCAACGTTCAGTTATAAAATGGTTTTCACAGGATGAATTCTGAGTTTGTAAGCTTTCAAATGATACATAATTTATGATTTTATGAACTACTAAAATATGTGATATAATAAAAAATGCTGAAAAAAAGATAATATTAAGTTTCAGAGGATAATAAATATTATAATTTTTTATTGAAAAATGTTTTTTTTTTTTTTCCTCTCAAGAGTGTAATTTTGACCCGGTGCGACTTATATAATCTAAAATACCGTAGTCAAGAGTTTGGACACATGTATTCATTCTATTAAACACTAAAAGAACATATTTTTTTTTTACAATAATAAATGAATTTGTTTTTTGTTTCTAGGAGATGACCGATATAGTGAAAGCCATATATGACATGATGGGGCGCTTCACGTATCCCGCTCTGAAGACCGACACCACCAAACAGCACGTGGATGCTTTCTTTCAGGTCAGACTCTGATAGTGCACCTTAAACATTATTATATACTACAGGGCTGCTGAATGCTTGAATCTGATTGGTTGATAAGCGATGTGCAGTTATTTTCAGGGAAACTCACACTAAAGTAGTTCCAGCCGGTCTTGACCACATTACAGTTTCATATCACTCCGTTCAGTTTCATATCCAAAACCCACAACGACACTGACTAATCAAATAAATATAGTAAAAATAGGATAAAAATATTACATATGGACTTTATATTTTGTTGTGGACTCTATGTACTATAAAGCAATGAATGATGAAATTTACAACTATATTTTTTGTAAGGTTGTGGAGGAGTTATTTTTTGAACTTGTGTGGATTAGAAACTGGTGTAATATGTATTCTTGATATAATGATTGAATGAAGTTTGTTATTAAAACTCTCTCTTTCTCTCTTGCAGAAAATGGACAAGAACAGAGATGGAGTCGTCACTCTTGATGAGTTTATTCTCTCCTGTCAAGAGGTACCTGTTCACAACAGCATTTAAAATTAGTATGCATAGAATAACCGAATGAAAAATGTGCAGTATACAAGCAGAGCACAGTGCATTGAATACTGTGTCCCACAATGCAAAGCTCTATTGCTGTTAACATCTTTTTCTTCACTCGTTATTAGATCAGACTATTGAAAGTGAAGACATTTTAAAAAAGGAAAATGAACATTTATTTCTAAGATTATCATTGGACGCCTTTCGCTGCATTAAACATAACTATGGAATTGTGTAGCATTTCTTTAGTTGTATTCTATATATATTTTAAAGAATACAGAATATAAGTAAACAGTGCATACGTATCTGTTCCAATCACTTTCTTCCTCTCTTTAACCCTTTAAGGGGCAAGTATAGATAATTTTGATGGAAAAATGATTCATTGCTATTTTTGTATGCATCTAGACTAAAATGGCAGAGTTCATAAATTTTTTTCAAAATATGACCTATAGTTTCTAAGTTATACTCTGTATCTCCCGAGATACATTGCCCATTTAGGGTTACATTTTGCAATTTATTATTATTTTTTTATTATAGTTAATATGACAACTTTTAAAACATTTAATGAACAATTAATTAGCTACAATTTTTCATGTTATCCATACAACATTAGAAAAATTGGAAAAAACTGAACTTTTTCTCCCAAGATGCATTGCCTATGTAGGATATACATTTAATATTTCATAACTTTTTAACCCCTTAACTGTCACCGTCCTGGTACCGGGACGCCTAACTTTACTTCACTGTATTTCTATTAAATCCTAATCTAATTATGACAAATTATATATTTTTGGAAAGGTCTAAGACTTCTAATTAAATATTCGACCCCTGTTTTGTGTTAAAAATTATGTAGGAAGAGTAATTAATGAATTTATGACAAGAGTGCACCTAAAAAAATCTGCATCATAACAGGAGGTCTGACCTTTGTCACAAAAAGTTGATGCACCCACTTTTAATCATTGAAACTTCTGTTTTTATGCTAAAAGTTCATAATAAAACATATAATCTAGTATTTTTCAATAAAAAATAAAAAGTATAGTATAACATTATCCTCTAAAAATTATAATATATATGTATATATTATCCTCTAAAATATAATAATATTTTTTATCGCCTTTTTTTATTATATCACATATTTTAGTAGTTATCATAAATTAGGTATCATTTGAAAGCTTATAAACTCAGAATTCATCCTGTGAAAACCATTTTATAATTGAACGTTGCGTTACCATAGAAACGGTACTTATTTTATGAGGCTCCTCCCCTTTTGGGCATCCTTATATTTCATAATTTATGATCAAAACCTTTTCTAATCTTGACAAAACACATATTGTCAGAAAGGTCTGAGTCTCAAGGTTCCAAATTTTGTGACAAAATTGATATTTGGACAGAAATGTATTAATTTGTTAAGGCAGAATGTACACAACTAAATTCAATGGAATTCAATGGCACCCGGTGGCTATTTTTGGTACTACGCCTAAACAAAATCTCATGGGAACTTCAATTTTTGTGATATCAACTTCAAATTTGGAACATAACTTGGTTAGATTTATGGCTTTGATTTTATAGTAATTTTAGAGTAAAAATATTTTGTAAAAATATATATTTTATATCAAATAAAAAATACAGTATATTTGATTTACTGTGAATTAAAACTTCCATAACTTTTTCATATTTTCATTTATTGAAGTGTTTTCACTTCAGCAATAATCTGCTGAGTGTTTTCTTTAAAACAAGACCAAACTTGGGTATATATTCCAAGGCATTCTTGAATTATAACCATTTAAGTGTGAATAGAGCATTTAACCCCCATTCTCAAAAAAAAAGGGGGGGGGGGGGCAGCTGACCAGTGACCAGACAAAGCCTGACTTTGCACTTCTGCCCATCCTGGCACATCCAAAACCTTTATCCTATTCAATATCTGTAGAGAACAGGCCTCAAAACATGAGAATATCTGTGAATGATCAGCCCTGGAAAATACCCTTATATGGGCAATGTATCCCCCGGGATACAAACATTCAATGCCTAATAATCAAAGTTGTGAGAAGATTATTTTGAAAATAACAAAAACATGTAAAACTATCCTTAAAAAACTACTTTCTAAAACAAAATCACTCTAAAATAGCATAATCGTGAAAAAAATATAAAAACACTTAGCTCATGGCGAGTGTCTTTGTCCATATATGCTGCCATTTTGGATTTTGATAGAAATATTTGGAATGTTATAGCAAAAAGTCACATGACCTGATTACATGACTCATCACCCCATCAGTGTTTCTCATCAACTGCAACCAAATAATGCCTCTCCCCCCATAGCCCCTCCCCCTACAGCCTGTTAAATGTCTGTATCCCCCAGGATACAGAAACTCTTTTGTGAGCAGGGTCCTCTAGTGTCAGAGATGAGTACTGACGCATTGATTAAACCGCAGTTCAATTCAATGTTAAAGTAGCAAAAAAAAAAAATCCTCTACATGAGTAACAACAAATAAGAGACTCTTTATTCCATGTTGCGTCGTCATGAATCATGAAAACGTTTATTTTTTGCTTTGTCAATTATTTTATTTCAGTCCGGCCACTGATAGTCATGCAAATAAAATGATTTATTTATTAAAAAAAAATTTTTATTTAACTTATTTTTATTCCTTTCTTTTTATTATTATTATAAATATTATTATTATTATTATATATATATATATATATATATATATATATATATAAAGATTTGTAGTAGTTAATTAAATTACTTGTATACAATAAATGTATCTTATTTAAAAAATATACATTTTACAAGAAGTATTAATAAAATGAAAATGATAAATAAATAGTCCATTTGAACCATCCAGCCCTATTTAAATTTATAAAATCTAAATTTAAATTTTATTTCAATACTTTTGTTGAATAGGCCACTCCTGACTAACTCAGATGCTTTCACCAGACATTCACATTTTGTATCTTCCCAAAATTAATTCTTAGTTTTATATATTTTTTGTATTATTTTGTTACTTTTCAATTAGTTACATCACAGCACCACCTGTTGTTTTATGGCGACACACTTCATCAAAAAAAAAAAAAAATACACTGACCTCTGATTGGCTGCTTCACATGTCATCTCAGACGCTGCTTCTCGTCTGATTGGCTGTTTCACATGTCACTCAGGCGCTGCTTCTCGTCTGATTGGCTGTTTCACATGTCACTCAGACGCTGCTTCTCCTCTGATTGGCTGTTTCACATGTCACTCAGACGGTGCTTTTCGTCTGATTGGCTGTTTGTTTGTTTCACTGATTACAGTCAAGACAAACTTTCTCTTCTTCTGCAATTTGTCTGTGTTCATTCCTCTCTGTCTATTCCTCGTATTTCTTTAGCCGTCTCTCATGAAACTGTTCTTTCTTTCTCTTTCTTCTGTTCATATTTTGTCTCTTCAGGATGAAAACATCATGCGATCATTGCAGCTCTTTGAGAATGTGATATAGAGCCAGAGGAAGAGGAGGATGAAGGGCAGAAAAGGGAAATTAGTCAGAGAAAGAAACCAATGAACTCTTGAATCTGACCGGTTTTCAGTTAAAAATAAACAAGAGAAATAACTTTTACTCCTTCAACACGGTAATTCTGGAAGTGTGACCGACGTCAGACAGCGTCACATGCCGCCGGAAAACCGACACGTCTTTGTTATGAACCCTCTGTGTTTGACCTCGTTCTGTTGCAGATGTGAAAATGATGTCTATAACCTAAGAAAAGGAAGTAGTTAAAAGAGCATGTGAGTAATTGTGTTCACGAAGGCCCAGCCCAAAAAACTTTGATTTGAAAATATGTCAGTGATGTTTGATGCATCCGAGCTTTTTAACCAGTTGTCCATGGATTTGGGAACGTGACCTCTGAATCACTCGACCTGTGATCTGATAATCCTCCAAAAGATGTGCTGAATCGTGTCCGTCATTTAGGTAGAAATGTCCTAATCCAGTATTATAACCAGTGTCTATAGCTGGCTGTCTGCAGAAGTGTGTGACGGCGGTGTGTTTGACAGTTTCTGTGTCCTGCGCTCGTGCATCGTGTCATCCGTGTCTGATCATCCCTGCTCGATCCGATGTGTGCTCATGTCCATTATTTCTGATGGTCTCATCACTTGTACCCGTCTCTGTCCTACTCGAAGATCTGCTTTCTGATTGGTCTGTTTGTCGACATCATGTCCAGGTCACATTTCACCCCAGTATCCTCATTAACGAAACACTGATTCATTTAAATATGCAAATTACTTTTTTTATTTTTTTTTCGGGGTGAAATATGACTAATTGGCTTTGTGCAGATGGCAATGAAGATTTTGATTGACATGTGCCGTAGCAAACTTTAGCAGTCACTATATTTGTTTGTGTGTTTAACTTTTATTTATAAAAAAAAACACTATTTTTTTTATTTACTGCGTGAAAGCTGTGAATTGCCAAAACTTATACTGTTTTATACAGCCATAATGCCACCTTACTGTGAAGAGAGAGAGAGAGAGCAAGAGAAAAATAATAATAATTAAATAAGACTGTGATTGATTAGTCCTGACAGGCTCAAAATCCATTTGACTAAATCTAACTGATGCATATCTGAGCAAAACTGAATATTAGAAATGTGGGGACGACAAAATTAACGTTAGCTGGACAATAACTTTATTCTAAACAATCTCTGTTACTTTAATTCACTATTATCACTGTAAAGCTGCTTTGAAACAATCTATATTGTTAACGGCGCTATATAAATGAACACTCCAAACAATGCTGGGTTGTTTTAACCAAAATTTGGGTCAAATATGGACAAACGCAAATGTTGGGTTAATGTAATTTCAAATTTTAACCCAACTTTAACTTTCAACTGTGCATTTTTTAATTGCATTTTTAACCCAACATTTAACCCAACATTTGGGTTTGTCCATATTTGACCCAAATTTGTGTTGAAACAACCCAGCATTTTTTTTGAGTAAAGATGACTTGACTTGGTGGGAGCCGATTTAAAGCCGGCATTATATACACAGAACCAGTCAAAACCAACCAGTCATTATATACACAGAACCAGTTTGGAAACATTACTATTTTGAATGTTTTTAAAAGAAGTCTCTTATGCTCATCAAGCCTGCATTTATTTGATAGGGGGAAAAAAGTACACTCTAAACAAAGCTGGGTTGTTTTAACCCAAATTTGGGTCAAACCCAAATGTTGGGTTAAAAATGCAATTAAAAAATGTAAAAGTGAAAGTTTAAGTTAGGTTAAAATTTTAAATTACATTTTTAACCCAACATTGGGTTTGTCCGTCGTTTACCCAATTTTGGGTTTAAGCAACCCAGCATTGTTCAGAGTGTAATATTATTAGAATTTTAATTTACAACTTTACAACAAAATATAATTTATCACTGTGATCAAAGCATCATTACTCCAGTCTTCAGTGTCACATGATCCTTCAGAAATCACTCTAATATGAGGATTTATTATCAGTGTTGCACTCTAAAAATTGCTGGGTCTTAGCCCAACTTTGGGTCAAATATGGACAAACCCAGCGATTGGGTTAAATTTTGTAATTACATTTTTAACCCAATGTTTGGGTTTGTCCATATTTGATCCAAAGTTGGGTTAAAACAACCCAGCATTTTTAACTGCTTTTACACATTTAAAAAAATGCTGGGTTGTTTCAACCCAAATTTGGGTCAAATATGGACAAACTCAAATGTTCGGTTAAAAATGCAATTACACTCTAAAAAATGCTGGGTTGTTTTAACCCAATTTTGGGTAAAATATGGACAAACCCAGGGTTACATTTTTAAATTTTTTAAATTATATTTTTAACCCAATTGGCTGGGTTTGTCCATATTTTACCCAAAATTGGGTTAAAACAACCCAGCATTTTTTAGAGTGTAAAATATTTACAGTTGAAAGTGAAAGTTGAAGTTAGGTTAAAATTTGAAATTACATTTTTAACCCAACATTTGGGTTTGTCCATATTTTACCCAAATCTGGGTTACACTCTGGTGTACACTCTAAAAATAGCTGGGTTGTTTTGACCCAACTTTGGGTCAAATATGGACAAACCCAGTCATTAATTATATTTTTAACCCAATGTTTGGGTTTGTCCATATTTGACCCAAAGTTGGGTTAAAACAACCCAGCACTTTTAGAGTGATATATATATATATATATATATATATATATACACATTTTAACCTGTGATACCTTTTTTTCTGGATTCATTGATGAATAAACAGTTAAAAAGAGCCACATTTATTCAAATAGAAATCTTTTCTAACAATTTAAATATTTACTATCACTTTTAATCAGTTCAACACATCCTTGATGAATAAAAGAATGAATTTCTTTCAAAAAAAGAAATGACTGAATGTGTCATTCAGTGTAATATTGTTACACAAGATTTCCATTTTAAATAAATACTCTATATATAATATTTATATATAAATTTAAATAGATATATATAAAGATAAAATATGGTCAATTAAGATTTTATGTAAATGTGAACAAATCCGTTAGTGCCAGGAAACTGAAACCAATACGGTTAAAGTTAAACCTGTGTTGTTTACGGTCACAAACACTCCTGGCAGACGCTCTGATAACCTTAGTAATGCTTCTTTATTATCATTTCTGATCATTTGATCGTGTGTTTTTGAACAATCACTGTGCCGCTACAGCGTGATGAGTTTAAAATATACAGGATGATATTGGATTTATTAGACTCATTGTATATTTTATACTCTGCAAAGTGGGCTTGTATAAGCGGATTAGAAGCGGCAGTGTGTGTATAAAGCTGACCGCGCTCCACAGACAGACAGACGCTCAATCAGACAGACAGATTCAGGAGACGGGAAGCTTAAATATCCTCTTGTTGAAATGATGTATAAACTGTTTAACAATAAAATTTTCGATGCATAATGCTGATTGTTCAGTGTTATATTTACACACCATTGCTTTTCCGGGTCCAAACACGTCATCGACAACGGCAAACATTATTCGTCACCATAATAGCACAGAATAATTACAATACAGCACAATATTTTGTAGACTTTCTTACAGACATAGTTTGAACAGTGGGTTGTTTTTAACCCAACTTTGGGTCAAATATGGACAAACCCAGGCGTTGGGTTACATTATTTACATTTTTAACCCAACATTTGGGTTTTTTCCATATTTGACCCAAAGTTGGGTTAAAACAACCCAGCATTTTTAGAGTGTATATTTACAGAGCTGTGTAGTTTCTGGGAATGTTTCACCTTTTCCTTACATCAGTGTCCATAACAATCACAGAGATATCCCACAATGCTCCTCACTTATAAAATAGGCGGTCAAAAAGCCTGGTTAATTTTATCAGAGACAGTGTTTCCTCCTCTTTCCCTTCTCAGTGTGCGGGACAGTGAGGGGTCCGGAGGGATTTAAGCCAGTGTTGTGGTTTTCCCAGCTCTCTCTTGGACCCACGGCTGCAGGTTCTGGAGGGCGTAGAGGGAGGAGTTATGAACACACAGAGGATCCGACGACACTGATTCGCTCATGGACTTCTGGAGGGCGTCGGCCTGAAGCTGGAGCAGCATCCGATTGGCTTGCTGACGTCCCGCCTCTCTTTCCTCGGCTGTTTGCCTTCTGGAGATTTTGAAGATGTAAAATGCAAACAAATCCAAACAGTGGATGCAATTATATATGAATTTAATGTAACAGGGTCAAAGTGTCAGAACATCTCAAATGTAAAAAATGTACCCCCCAATAAAATCAATATAATTTTGTTCAATAATATTTTTGGGAACACATGCAACTAACCCTAAATCAAATCCGGTCCCTATAGTAAGTACATGTAGTCGCTCAGTACTATGAGCGACTTAATAGACACAGAACAGAGCAAAGTGAGCGTTTGAGCTTTGTTATTTATTTTTGAAATGAGCGATCATTTCACTTGATAAGACCCTTATTCATCGTCTGGTGTCGTTTAAAGCCCTTTGAACAGTTTGCAGTTTGCACTGAAAGTGTCTTTTGGACCTTGAACCATTTGGACCCCATTGAAGTCCATTATATTGAGAAAATCCTGGAATGTTTTCATCAAAAACCTTCATTTCTTTTCGACTGAAGAAAGAAAGACGTGGACATCTTGGATGACATGGGGGTGAGTAAATTATCTGCAAAAGTTTTTTGAAAGTGAACTAATCCTTTAAATATAACTACACTGTAACAAGGACACCTTAAAATAAAGTGTAAGCATCTTTTTTTTTTTACATATTTTGAGGGACTTTTAGCAATACTTATGGTCATTTTTAACTCCTCCATTGCTGTGCGCTTTTTTTCTCCTCTGCATCCTGGCTAATTTGAAGACTGAAGTATTTCCATTTCCCGTTCATTTCTATATGGCATTTCGGTTTCACTCTATTTTACCCTATATGCACTTACACTCTAAAAAATGCTGGGTTGTTTTAACCCAACTTTGGGTCAAATATGGACTAACCCAGCCGTTGGGTTAAATTTTTACATTACATTTTTAACCCAATATTTCAGGTTTGTCCATATTTGACCCAAAATTGGGTTAAAACAACCCAGCATTTTTTAGAGTGTACAGTGTACCTATTCTTGTAATTATATATTTAGGTACTGAGTATTAATTAACTAAGTGTACTTATATGCACTCTAAAAAATGCTGGGTTTGTTTCAACCTAACTTTGGGTCAAATGTGGCCAAACCCAGCCATTGGGTTAATTTTATTAATTAACTTTTAACCCAATTTAAGGTCAAATACGAACAAACCCGAATGTTGGGTTAAAATTTTAAACAACCCAGCATTTTATAGAGTGTGTTAGGGTTTGAGGGTTAGTTGCATGTATGCATAATTTACTGGAAAGTAGTAAATGCATGTAACAAGGACACTGTCAAGTAAAGTGTTACCATAGAGTGCTAATGGCATTTCTATTTAACTTTCGAAACATTTCCATTATTTCATCCTAAAAATGCTGGGATATTTCACCCCAACTTTGGGTCAAATATGGACGAACCCAGCCGTTGGGTTACATTTATTAATTACATTTTTAATTTCAATTTTGCGTTTGTCTAAATTTCACCCTAATTTGTTTTAGAGTGTTGTTTTTTTGTTCACATGGCACGTGCCACAAAAGAGCACAAAAAAAAAAAAACCCTCCGGTGAATGTCGTTTAATATTTCAATGAATAAAGTCGAGTCGAGCTAGTGGAAAAGCGCCATTATTCTTATTGATAGCTAAATTTGCTCATAAGAGAATACTAATAAAAAAATAATTGAAGTTTAAACTATTAATAATTGAAATTTATTTTAAAGTAAATGAAAAAGGTGTAACATCTTAATTCTAAGTGTTGCTCTGCACTCCTGCAGTCTCACCTCCACTTGGTCCTGCGGTTCTGGAACCAGGTCTTGACCTGCGCGTCCGTCATCTTCAGGCTCTTGGCGAGGCACGCGCGCTCCGCGGACGCGAGATACTTCTGCCTATGGAAGCGCTTCTCCAGCTCGCAGATCTGCACGCGAGAGAACGACGTGCGGGGCTTTTTCCGTTTCGGGGGAGTTCGGTTCTGATACGGGTGACCGATCCGCCGGGTCACGGTGAACGGAATGAGAGCTGCGGGAAAAGTGTCATTTAAGTGTCAAGTTATTTTCATTTAGATTCTACTAAAACAAATTCTGACAATGCAATTATTAGCCTAAAAATGTTGGGTTGTTTAACCCAATTTTGGGTCAAATGTGTACAAATCCAATTGTTGGATGGACAAACCCAGCCGTTATAGGTTAAATTTATAAATCGCATTTTTTAATCCAACAATTGGATTTGTCCATATTTGACCCAAAATGGGGTTAAACAACCCATCATTTTTTAGAGTGTCGGTGATTATTAAACCCAATACTCTCTAAAAATGATCTGCTTAACTTTGTAGACTATATTTGTTCGTTATACATAGGCTACTAAACCTGTAGTTAACGAAACGATGAATTGTGTGCACCAAAACAGCGGTTTGTACGCATGCACGAGCACCAAAATATGGTCCCGATCATGGAGGTCATCACGTGCAATGACTAAAATAAATGTTGTAAAAATAATTTAAACGTGGAATCCCTGACACTTTCGTATGTTTGAAACAAAACACCTATTTATAATTTTATAATTTTCAGGATTATTAAAAATGATAAAATCAATAGTTAATGAACAGAAAATAGTGCTATGTATTGTTTACTTAATGTTTATTGATTTGCTCAAAACATCGTGCATCTCAAAAGTGCACTATTGCTCCTGTTTTAATATTGTATATTTTTCGGGCACAGAAACAACGTTTTGCTTCAACTATGCCCGTTATGCATACTGATATCAAACTTATTTCAGCTTAAACTGCTTTCGTATATGAACTTTTTTTACACAGCCTAAATATACTTTTGGACCTAATCAATTAATATTCTAGATTAACAATAAACATATTACAGCAACCAATCAAACCAATTTTTGCGTTAGGCAATTCATTATAATATTGTTTATTGCTCTTTATTTTTTGCATGTGCGTTTAAGAAAATAAAGCATTCTGCATTTTATAGCATGCATTTTATATGCTTATTTATTTTAATTATCGTTATAATTGAAATTTGATTTATTGTAGGCTATAGGCCTACCAGTTGAAATATTATTGCAATCAATAATGTCATATATTTTCTGGGTGATTTATGGTGAAAAGCTTGTTGTAATTTTGGAGGGGTAAGCTTTTTTCCTGAAACAACTGTGCAGGTCCAGCATTCAGATCAATCCCAGCATCCTCAGACTCGGAGATGTGTATCTTTACCTGGCAGTCTGTCTTTAGGGAACCTGCGATTATTGTCCATCCAAGGGAAACACAGCGCCGGTGCCGCGCTCAACATGCCCTGCGGCACCGCGGCAGCCAGAGGTCTGTGCGCCGGGACCCGAATCACTCCACCGGGCACCAGTGAGCCGCTCACCCCGTACACCCGCCCGCAGTCCTCCAGCGAGGGAGAGACAGGTATGGAGACATGAGGCACGACGCTCGCCCTGGTTGGGCTTCTCAAGCGGCTGTTATCCACAGTGTTTCCACGGCTGCTGTCCGGGTCCAGAGAGCCCAGAATCTGGTCGATCCCGAATCGGATGGGTTCCTGGTTAGCTTTGGATGGCGGCTTTGCCTCGTTGAGCTCCGCGCGCTCCATAATTCCCAGTTGCGCAGCGGATTTTGGCGGATTAAAACGAACAAAATCACGTTAGGTGCTGCGAAAATAATTGTAACTTAGTTTTAGTCTCGTCCATGGTCTCAGATGACGTTCCTCGTTTCTCTAATTCCTCGTTTGAACTCTGACAGGTCTCGCCACCGATGCGCCGCGCGTCAAACTGTCGAGTTTCCGCTCCGCCGCGCGTGCCAAACTCTTCAGCTCAAGTTTTCATTGGTCGACCGGGCCGAGCCGTCATTATCTCTGTCTATTGGTTGACATTTGGGAACGCGAGAAAAAAAAAAGTGAACTAGAGCCTCATTATGATATTCAATCATGTCATCACACCAATTTCTGAAATGCGCATTTATTGAGGCTGAAAGATGTTGCTGCTAATTTATTTACAGAGGTCTCTCATTATGTGGAATTGCATTAGGACATTTTAACGCACAAACTTTAAATTTACTTTGCAGTGACGCAATCAAAAACTATAGATTTGTATTTTCAGACGGAAAACAGTGTGTGCAATAGCTTTACTAGGTTAATGTTAAGTTAATTTAGCATTTTAAAAAAAAATCTAAGCATATATTTGAGCATTCTCAAAACAACCAATCTTATATTCTGTCGATGAAATCATTGCAAATGATTGCAATCTCTTTCTTGTCCAGTCATTTAAAAGTGGGTGTATTTCTAAGGGATTCGCTGAGATAAACGTGAAGGATTCATTGCGTTATCGATCGGCGGAAATCGGAGAATGTCCGTGTTAAACACGAGCTCGGAGTTCGTCATCGCTAAACACAGTCCCGCTGCTCAGATGTAGCATTGATTTGTGCCATGCGTTGATTAATGTTCGAACCCCACGTGCAGCCAAACGCTCTCAGTTGCGCGTAATTTCATTCAGTAAAACTATCCCGCAACATTTCGCAACAGAACCAATTAGATTTTATTACCTAAATGTCACCCAAACAATATCCATCATCAAACATGAGAAGTTCTGGAGCGCGCACTGGCTGAGCTCTGCTGTTTGTGTGTGAGCGCGCAAAGCCTTTTAAATTGATGGCAAATTCGTGTCCTCGCGCCGGGAAATGGAGTGTGTGCCGTGGGCAGGCTGCGCGCAGGACACGCGCAATGAAAGAGCCTTGAAGATTAAGTCAGTAATGCAGTTTAGAAGCAGGTGGAATGGACATAATCGGCCCCGGAACCCTCTGCACTGACTCTTTATCCATCGAGAACAAATGACTAAGACTTGGGCCTACTTTTGTTTTATTGGTGATTTTTCGCCCGCTAAATTCAGGGTGAATGTTATTTGCTTTGTAATTATTTTAATGCATGGATGCATATATTTGTATTTCGGAGGAGATTTATATATATATAAAAAAACGTAATCCAATTTAGATGTCATAAATTGTTCACTCCTCTCAACATCTCTTTTTATGCTTGTATCGTGTTCATAAAGGTTTGAGTGCATTTGACACATGCATAGGCCCTAATTCAGGCCCTTAGGCATGCACGTGCAAATAATTTTTAATAGCCTAGTTTTAAAGTTTAGCATCGAGTTTATTTGTTTTGTAAAATCAAACTTATCATCAATAACCCTCCAAAATCAACAAGTATGGATTTTGTGACCTGAGGTGCATCAGCAGCGACACATTTATGCGCGTAAGTTGCTCTTCCAGACTCAGTTTTCAGTGAAATGGACACGGTGTCTAAAAATGTGACACCGCCACTGAGCTTTTGACGGCTGTTAGTTTATCGTTGACACATGAATGATTTTTTAAAAACCACCCCATGAATGTATTCAGACATTTCTGGCAGAAACGCTTGACTCCCCTTAACGTGCTTCTGGCGCGTTTCCGTGCCATATGTGCACGCGGCGACAAATTTGGCCTGTTTACTATGTTAGACGCGTGATAATAACATATCATTATGTGACATTTGCTTCTCCTTCAGTTTCCCTTTTGTCAAACATTTATCGAGCAATTATTCGCTGTGTATCTGTGGCCATGCACTCACATAATTATTGTTTTTTTGTAATTCGGACCATAATGGACCTCTCTCTCGATTGATTGAAGAAGGATACTTTTTCTAATTGCTCCAACAATGTAATTAACTCCCTCTCATAAATGTCGTTATTATTATTATTATTATTATAGATAATATTTACTTGTTGTTTTACTGTTAAACTGTTCTTAATCCGTGCTTATCTAATAATGAAATTATTTTAAATTGCCAAAAATGTGAAATTATGTCCAAATACAACTGTTAAAAAATATTTTCATGATTTGTAATCACAACATTATTTCTTTTGTCAAATCAACTTAATAACATAATATTTTAAGTTTCCGATGATTAAATCAATCTCATTCATTCTATTAACTCAATTTTTCCATTTCAATGAACTTAAATTTTTAAGGCAGCCAGGTTACTTAATTTTTTAAGTTAAACCAACAATATTTTTTTCAGATATCAGTCAAAGGCAAATAAGGATGTATGATACAAATGTGAAATCTTAAATAGCCTAAAACACGTTGAAAAGTTCTTATATGTTTATTCATGTTAGATTAATCAATTTCTGAAAAACTTTTAAACAATTTTCAGAGGACAAATGTTTTTCGGACTCTTTTGTTAACCAATATTGGGTTAATTTTATGTATTTTCGTATAACTCTATACATTTGGTCAGCTATTAATCGTACCATCAACTTTCATATTTTCAATGCCGATATTTTTCATCATTTGTGTGCATAAAAGTTTATAGTAATATTGTTGCGTTTTGTTTTCTCCTCTTCAAATAAAGCCCCTCCTTTCGCTGGAATAATTGAAGGTCAGATCCATCATTGGGCTCGACACATTAAATGCTTTATTCTCCGGAGAAACCGAGACGTATAAAACAGAAATATAGGGGAATAAAAGCCAACAATTTGTCTTTAAAATTACCCCGTATTTGCATAATAGGGGATCCGGGTGTCGCACCCTCGGGCGTCGTTTTTATTGCGCGTCTCCGGCGCGTTATCAATTTCCCAACTTCAGCACGGAGCGAGAGCTGTCACGCGCGCGCATCTGAAGAACACAGAGAAACAGAGATATAAAGCAGCAAAGTAGAATTAAGTGATATAAGGGTCGTATGTGCTTTTCAATAATAAATAAGAGACTTTGGGAGAAGCAGTGGTGCGGGAATAAGAATTGACGCCGGTAAGTAATAGAGCGTTTAAAAACACCTACTATGTTTTTATTATGATCTGTGCTGAAGCACCGCAGACAGACTGAGGCAATATGAAGATGTCACGAGTTTAAAGGCCACACTGGAAAAACTCCATCCTCACATCAGCCCTGAAGTCAAATTGACACCGCAAATGACATTTGGCCCGTTAATAATTCCCATCCTCTGTCACCCCATTAAATATTAAATAAAGCCTATTAAATGTAAAGTAATAGCCCGTGAATTCGCTGGTGTTGTTGAACATCTGTTTCCTCTCACACTGAGACTAAAGCATCGATTTTAAGTCATATTCAATGCTTTGATATGATGCGGTAACATTAGCTCAGTTAATGAGGGACTAAAAGCCATGGTTTGAATTAAGCGCGTGCACGAACTGCCTTTTCAAGTTCACACTGATTGTCGATTTCAACACTACTGTGCTGTGCATCTTTCTTAAAAGGTAGCCCTACGCCATGTAGGCTAACCTTTTTTTTATTCAAAATGAACAAAATGTAAATAGTAGGCCTACGTCATCAATACCCTACAACTTCCAACGTGTTATTGTCCTAACTTACCCCGATTCAAGTCTAGCTATTATAAGTGTTTATATTGTAGACCTGACAGGACGGTTTTCGCGGGAAATTGTGTATATCATATCACATAGGCAGGCTACTATGCCATTCATCCGTGCGTTATCGTCATATTCGTAAAAAAGTTGCTAAATCGTCCTCCTCATCATATTAGCTACTCAAAAAGGCAGTCGCTTTAGTGCCTGATTACAATTCCCGCAAAGTCATGTTATGATAAATGCTGTTTGAACAATGTTATGATGACCATTATTGTCTGTATTTAGCTTGTGTACTAGCCTACATAGACGGGTGTACTAGCATAGCATACAGATACCCGATTAGCCTGATAGCTTAGTTTATACACGCATTTGCCCTTGCCATACACTCTTAGAAGAAAAGGTGTCAGCGCTACGTATTTGGAACCCCTAAAAGGTTCTATAGCCTACACTCTTAAAAAAAGGGTTCCTCTGGGTATAGAACCCTGGGGTTCCATAATTGGCCAATAGAACCTTTTTAACCAAAAAAATGGTTCTATATAGAACCATTTTGGAGTTCATATGAAGCGGGGGATGGAACCATTTCTGGTTCTAAATAGAACCATTTCTTCTAAGAGTGTAGGCTATTATTATCTAAATAATATAATTAATTAACATCCATCAAGTAAAAGAAACGTTCAATTTGTTTTATTATGCACTAGTAACCTATACATATTTTAAATTAATATTAGGCTACTAGCATAATCATTAACTGATAGTAGAGACCCTATTTCAAGGTTTTGTCATGAGACCGGCTACTTTGACGCGTGTTTGGTGTGGGAGTGGCATAAGTTAGTTGTCACAACGAGCGAGAAAGGTTGACATTCTAACAGAGTTCCTTGTAAAGCATTGTTATTATTATTATTATTATGTAACGGGTACAGTATTCTTCTGCACAGTCACACAGAGCTGAAGGACAACCTAAACAATGTTGTTCCGCAAAATGCATGCAGTTTTGTTTTTAACCGCTAGAGGGCCAAAAGTTACACATTTAAACTAAATGCCGCTTTGATTTTGTTAAAAGTCATTCATTTTTATACCTTTTTTTTCATGTTGCTGTATTTATGCATTCTCCAAACTCCAAAAGCTATAGGATGTTGGGCACACATTGAAAGTTTTTGCCACATGATCATTAAGTAAAACAACAAACAAGCTTAATTACTGTGCAAAACAAGTCAGTTTGACAGTAAATTCAGGGTCAGTATATATAGCCTAGGTAAATAAATACACACAACCCCCAAAATCCCAAGCATAAAGTCATTTTATAGGGCGGGACGGCTGAATCTCCTCGTACAGGACTCGTCCTCGGGCTGCGTAAATCTTTATAACCATCCGATATATTCATCTCCCACAGATTTCATTGTTTCTCTGAAATGAA